CTTTCTTGTGTGTGTGTGTGTGTTTGTGTGTGTGTGTGTGTGTGTGTGTGTGTGTGTGTGTGTGTGTGTGTGTGTGTGTGTGTGTGTGTGTGTGTGTGCGTGCGCTCCCATTGTTTACATAGCTGGTGCTGCCATCTGTTGGCAGCGACCATCACCCAACTCGCCCCCAGAGAGTCGTGCCTGTTCCTGCTGCTCTCTACAATTATACTATCATTGTGTTTGCCGTAATAGTCGGCCATTACTTCTCAAGCGTTAACTATGATGATTGGGCAATGACCATGGTCAGGGATGGGTGAGGGAGGACTGGGTAAGGGTGAGCACTCGTCGACGAGCGCTTGAGTGGGAGTACTTTGAGTGCTGGAGTACATTAGATATTTGAGTGCTTGTATTGTGTGGTTTGAGAAGGGGAAAGTGTTTGATCTTTTCCCCGCTCTCGTATCTTTGTGGTCTGAGGCCAGATTCACGAAAGCACTTACGCAAGCACTTACGAACGTGTCCATATTTCCTCAATCTTTGACGGCTTTGGTTACATTTATTAAACAGTTTACAAGCATGAAAACTTACCAATCAACTGTTGTTGTTGTTATAAACAGCCTCCTGGTGCTTCGGAGCTCATTAACTGTTTAATAATTGTAAACAAAGCCGCCAAAGATTGAGAAAAGATGTACAGGTTCGTAAGTGCTTGCGTAAGTGCTTTCGTGAATCTGGCCCCTGGAAGGTTTCATTTAGTCTTGTAGAACTCTCAAGTATTGTATTTATTTTACTGTCATGTGAACAGTGGCATATCAGGTGAAAAGAAAAAAAAATGCCCAAACGCTTCTATCCTGCCGCGAATTTCAAATTCGGCAGGATAGAAACGCCACAGTGGTGTGTGTGTGTATTCACCTAGTTGTTGTGCGTGCGGGAGTTGAGCTCTGCTCATCGGCCCGGCTCTCAATTGTCAATCAACTGTTTCTACTACTACTATTTTTTTTCCACACCACACATACCCCAGGAAGCAGCCAGTGACAGCTGACTAACTCCCAGGTACCTATTTACTGTTAGGTAACAAGAGTATAGGGTGACAGAAACTGCCCATCGTTCCTCGCCAACGCCCGGGATCAACTCGGGACCACAGGATCACGTGTCTAGCTAGCGTGCTGTCCGCTCGGCCACCGGCTCAGATCACACACATACACTTGTGTGTGGGGGTGTGTGTGTGTGTGTTTGTGTATGTGTGTGTGTGTGTGTGTGTGTGTGTGTGTGTGTGTGTGTGTGTGTGTGTGTGTGTGTGTGTGTACTCACCTATTTGTACTCACCTATTTGTGCTTGCGGGGGTTGAGCTTTGGCTCTTTGGTCCCGCCTCTGAACTGTCAATCAACTGGTGTACAGGTTCCTGAGCCTACTGGGCTCTATCATATCTACATTTAAAACTGTGTATGGAGTCAGCCTCCACCACATCACTGCCTAATGCATTCCATCCGTTAACTACTCTGACACTGAAAAAGTTCCTTCTAACGTCCCTGTGGCTCATGTGGGTACTCAGTTTCCACCTGTGTCCCCTTGTTCGCGTCCCACCAGTGTTGAATAGTTTATCCTTGTTTACCCGGTCGATTCCTCTGAGGATTTTGTAGGTTGTGATCATGTCTCCCCTTACTCTTCTGTCTTCCAGTGTCGTAAGGTGCATTTCCCACAGCCTTTCCTCGTAACTCATGCCTCTTAGTTCTGGGACTAGTCTAGTGGCATACCTTTGGACTTTTTCCAGCTTCGTCTTGTGCTTGACAAGGTACGGGCTCCATGCTGGAGCCGCATACTCCAGGATTGGTCTTACATATGTGGTGTACAAGATTCTGAATGATTCCTTACACAGGTTCCTGAACGCTGTTCTGATGTTAGCCAGCCTCGCATATGCCGCAGACGTTATTCTTTTATGTGGGCTTCAGGAGACAGGTTTGGTGTGATATCAACTCCTAGATCTTTCTCTCTGTTCGTTTCATTAAGTACTTCATCTCTATTCTGTATCCTGTGTTTGGCCTCCTATTTCCACCACCTAGTTTCATTACTTTGCATTTACTCGGGTTGAACTTCAACAGCCATTTGTTGGACCATTCACTCAGTCTGTCGGTATAGGTCCAAGGACTGACCCCTGCGGTACTCCACTCGTAACGTCTCGCCAATCTGAGACCTCACCCCTCACACTGACTCGTTGTCTCCTGTTACTTAGGTACTCCTGTATCCAACGGAGTACCTTCCCTTTCACTTCAGCCTGCATCTCCAGCTTTTTTCACTAGCCTCTTGTGTGGCACTGTGTCAAAGGCTTTCTGACAATCCAAAAATATGCAGTCTGCCCACCCTTCTCTTTCTTGCCTTATTTTTGTTGCCTGGTCGTAGAATTCAAGTAACCCTGTGAGGCAGGACCTGCCATCCCTGAATCCATGTTGATGCTGTGTTACAAAGTTCTTTCGCTCCAGGTGCTCCACTAGCTTTCTTCGCACAATCTTCTCCCATCATCTTGCATGGTATGCAGGTTAGGGACACTGGTCTGTAATTCAGTGCCTCCTGTCTATCCCCTTTCTTGTATATCGGGACTACGTTAGCTGTGTGTGTGTGTGTGTGTGTGAGTGTGTGTGTACTCACCTAGTTGTACTCACCTAGTTGTGCTTGCGGGGGTTGAGCTCTTTGGTCCCGCCTCTCAACCGTCAATCAACAGGTGTACAGGTTCCTGAGCCTATTGGGCTCTATCATATCTACACTTGAAACTGTGTATGGAGTCAGCCTCCACCACATCACTTCCTAATGCATTCCATTTGTCAACCACTCTGACACTAAAAATCTAATATCTCTGTGGCTCATCTGGGCACTCAGTTTCCACCTGTGTCCCCTTGTGCGTGTGCCCCTTGTGTTAAATAGCCTGTCTTTATCTACCCTGTCGATTCCCTTCAGAATCTTGAATGTGGTGATCATGTCCCCCTAACTCTTCTGTCTTCCAGCGAAGTGAGGTTTAATTCCCGTAGCCTCTCCTCGTAGCTCATACCGCTCAACTCGGGTACTAGTCTGGTGGCAAACCTTTGAACCTTTTCCAGTTTAGTCTTATCCTTGACTAGTTATGGATTCCATGCTGGAGCTGCATACTCCAGGATTGGTCTGACATATGTGGTATACAAAGTTCTGAATGATTCCTTACACCTTACACTTGTGTGTGTGTATATGTGTGTGTGTGCACGCAATATTGTGCACGCAATATTCTACTTCGTCCTGAGGCCTCAGTAATTTTCACTCCTCTCCCTCCCATTTCTCCCTCCCATTTCTCCCTCCTATTCCTCCCTCCATCCCCCTTCCATCCCTCTCTCCCTCCTCCCTCCCCCCCTCCACCCCACTCAATGACAGACATGCTTTTGAATTCTCTTTGCATATTTGTCCTATTAAGAGCTTCTATTGGCCTCGTTGGCTGCTGGACACGCCTGTGTGAGGGAGGGAGGGAGAGAGGGAGAGAGAGAGAGAGAGAGAGAGAGAGAGAGAGAGAGAGACAGAGACAGAGAGAGAGAGAGAGAGAGAGAGAGAGAGAGAGAGAGAGAGAGAGAGAGAGAGAAGAGAGAGTGAGAGAGAGAGAGAGAGAGAGAGAGGACAAAAGAATTTCTTTAGAACATTGTTTACGTTTGAACTTATTTTTTGGGGGGTCGTGTGAGTTAATATATTCTACAAAACGTAGAGATTTCCTCGCGAGGCCTAATGACACACACACACACACACACACACACACACACACACACACACACACACACACACACACACACACACACACACACACACACACACACACACACACACACACACACACACACACACACACACACACACACACACACACACACACACACACACACACACACATATATATATATAATTCGCATGTGTCATAGAATAATCTCGTATACTCTTCCTAGCTATAGAGTGCTCGTGCAAGTCCGCCCAGCACACCTGCTAGGATCCTAGGAGGAATTAAAAGTCTTAGACCACGCTGAGGTTTCTAACAAAAAAAAAATAAGCCTAGGACGTCTTAGCGCGTCATAAGGAAACCCCAGCACAAAATGCTGAGACACGCTCAGAAGCTCTTAGAAATCCCAGGAGGGCTTCCTAGTACACGCTGAGACCCCCCAGAACGCCTTCCTAGGACACGCTGAGACCCCCAGGACCCTCTGAGACCCCCAGGACCCTCTGAAACCCCCAGGACACCCTCCCAGGACCCTCTGAGGTCCCCAGGACCCTCTAAGACCCCCAGGACCCTCTGAAACCCCAGGACACCCTCCCAGGACCCTCTGAGACCCCCAGGACCCTCTAAAACCCCCAGGACACCCTCCCAGGACCCTCTGAGACTCCTAGGACCCTCTAAGACCCCCAGGACCCTCTGAGACCCCCCAGGACCCTCTGAGACCCCCAGGACCCTCTGAGACCCCCCAGGACCCTCTGAGACCCCCTAGGACCCTCTGAGACCCCAGGACACCCTCCCAGGACCCTCTGAGACTCTCAGGACCTTCTGAAACCCCCAGGACACCCTCCCAGGACCCTCTGAGACCCCCAGGACCCACTGAGACCCCCAGGACCCTCTGAGACCCCCTGGATGCCCTCCCAGGACCCTCTGAGACCCCCCAGGACCCTATGAGACCCCCAGGACCCTCTGAGACCCCCAGGACACCCTCCCAGGACCCTCTGAGACCCCCAGGACACCCCCAGGACCCTCTGAGACCCCCAGGACACCCTCCCAGGACCCTCTGAGACCCCCAGGACACCCCCCAGGACCCTCTGAGACCCCCAGGACACCCCAGGACCCTCTGAGACCCCCAGGACACCCCCCAGGACCCTCTTATACCCCCCAGGACGCACCACCACATCTGGGAACACCGCCCAGCAGCAGGAGAGCCGCGGCGGCTGTCAGGACTAAGGATTATAACTTTGCTCGTCCAACACACTTAAGTAATTAAGGTAAAAGCCGGAATATGATTATGGTTATGTCTGGTACCGGCTTATAAGGTCCTGGCGAGGCCTGCTGAATATGCTGAGGCATATCTGGATGGATCTGGAAGGCGTCTGGAACCTTCGGCAAGTGTCTGGAGCGGTATGGTAGTTCCTTGGTATTTCTTACTGCGGTATCTGGAACTGTGTAGTGGGATTATGTGATATGTGAAGCATGAAAAGGTGTCTGGAATTGTGAGAACGTGAATGGTGGTGTCTGGAAGTGGGTGGAGGTGTCTGGAAGTGGGTGGAGGTGTCTGGAAGTGGGTGGAGGTGTCTGGAAGTGGGTGGAGGTGTCTGGAAGTGGGTGGAGGTGTCTGGAAGTGGGTGGAGGTGTCTGGAAGTGGGTGGAGATGTCTGGAAGTGGGTGGAGGTGTCTGGAAGTGGGTGGAGGTGTCTGGAAGTGGGTGGAGGTGTCTGGAAGTGGGTGGAGGTGTCTGGAAGTGGGTGGAGGTGTCTGGAAGTGGGTAGAGATGTCTGGAAGTGGGTGGAGGTGTCTGGAAGTAGGTGGAGGTGTCTGGAAGTGGGTGGAGGTGTCTGGAAGTGGGTGGAGGTGTCTGGAAGTGGGTGGAGGTGTCTGGAAGTGGGTGGAGGTGTCTGGAAGTGGGTGGAGGTGTCTGGAAGTGGGTGGAGGTGTCTGGAAGTGGGTAGAGATGTCTGGAAGTGGGTGGAGGTGTCTGGAAGTAGGTGGAGGTGTCTGGAAGTGGGTGGAGGTGTCTGGAAGTGGGTGGAGGTGTCTGGAAGTGGGTGGAGGTGTCTGGAAGTGGGTGGAGGTGTCTGGAAGTGGGTGGAGGTGTCTGGAAGTGGGTGGAGGTGTCTGGAAGTGGGTGGAGGTGTGTGCTTTACCAACCCGTCCTCACACTTGGCTGGTTAAAGCAGCGGCCGTCCCCCCCCCCCCCCAGACGTATTCATCAATTTTTAACATAATGTGTGTATTAAACATTGGTTTGTTCTCATATATATAAATAAATATTATTATATATAACAATTTATAGTTAGGCGTAGGTTAGGTTAGGTGTTTAGGGTCTGTTGGCGATTATTTGAATCTGAAGCATTCATAGAATTGTGGTTCCAACAGAGGACGTGAGTGAAGAACTTGTTTCGAAAGTGTTCGGACGCCATCAGTTGTGAGGCCCAACCCGTCCTCGACTCAAGTCCATTACATCCAGCGGTCGACCCCACAGACGCATTCATAAATTTTAACATGCTGTTCATTCAAAACGGGAATTTTCTCAAGTATAAATTAATATTATAATATATTAGCATATTGTGTATATATAGGCATAGGATAGGTTAGGTTAGGTGTTTAGGTTCTGTTGGCGATTATTTGTATTTGTAGTACGTGGGTGAAGCATTTATAGCGTTGTGGTTCGAACAAAATTCGTCAGTGAAGCACTTGTTCCGGATATGTTCGAACGTCAGCAGTTGTGAGTCGTGTGTAAACCGCTTTTCATTCATAATCAGGGGGTTTGGCGGGTGCATGGAATCACTTTTGGATCTTTGTTTGGAGGACGGGCTGATTTATAGAATTGCGGTTCGAACAGAAGACGTGAGTGAAGCACTTGTTTCGGAAGTGTTCGGACGTCATCAGTTGTGAGGCCAGCCCGTCCTCCAAACAAAGACCCAAAAGTGATTCCATGCACCCGCCAAACCCCCTGTTTATGAATGTAAAGCGGTTTACACACGACTCACAACTGCTGACGTTCGAACACTTCCGGAACAAGTGCTCCACTGACGAATTTTGTTCGAACCACAACGCTATAAATGCTTCACCCGGGGAGCCGGTCGGCCGAGCGGACAGCACGCGGGACTTGTGATCCTGTGGTCCTGGGTTCAATCCCAGGCACCGGCGAGAAACAATGGGCAGAGTTTCTTTCACCCTATGTCCCTGTTACCTAGCAGTAAAATAGGTACCTGGGTGTTAGTCAGCTGTCACGGGCTGCTTTCTGGGGGTGGAGGCCTGGTCGAGGACTGGGCCGCGGGGACACTAAAAGCCCCGAAATCATCTCAAGATAACCTCAAGATAACCCACGTACTACAAATACAAATAATCGTCAACAGAACTTAAACACCTAACCTAACCTAACCTAACCTAACCTAACCTAACCTAACATACGTCTAACTATGCATAGAACTTTAATATATAATAATGAAATGTATAAATGAGAAAAAAACAAATATCAAATATACAATCCATGAAAATTTATGAATGCGTCTTGAGGAGGGGGGATGGCCGCTGCTTTAACGAGCCTGGCCTGAGAACGGAATACCCGCATAAGATAAATACAAATAATTACCAGTAAAACCTATACACGCCTAACCTAACCTACGCCTAACTGTACCTTGCACTTTAATATAAAATATTTATTAAATAGTGGTGTTACCACCTCTGGTGCGGTTGTGGGGGACCCATAGCCTCGGAGAAGCAAATAGGGAGCATTCAGGGAGGAAATTTGCCGTTTGTGCCTGTGAATCCGTTTGTGATTTGTGAAGTGTTTGCTACTCCCCAACACCCCCCCCCCCTATTTGATTGTGTACTAGATTGTACAGGATCACACAATTACAAATTGTGTGGCACTAACATGTTCATGTTATAACTATTACAAGTGAAATATAAAAAAAATATAAGCAAAATACAACCATTAATAAATGTCACAAAGAGGTTCGATCACCATGGGTTGGGAGCCGGTCGGCCGAGCGGACAGCACGCTGGACTTGTGATCCTGTGGTCCTGGGTTCGATCCCAGGCGCCGGCGAGAAACAATGGGCAGAGTTTCTTTCACCCTATGTCCCTGTTACCTAGCAGTAAAATAGGTACCTGGGTGTTAGTCAGCTGTCACGGGCTCCTTCCTGGGGGTGGAGGCCTGGTCGAGGACCGGGCCGCGGGGACACTAAAAAGCCCCGAAAGCATCTCAAGATAACCTCAAGATAACCATTACAAGTAGCAACACCTCCCAGAATCCCTCCGTCCCATCTCAAATCCTTATCCTGATCCCTTCCAAGTGCCTATGTAGAGTCGTAGTGGCTTGGCGTTTTTCCCCTCCCTCATAGTTCCCTTCCCATCCTCGACCTGCTCTGAGGTCAGGTCGACGCGTGACCCGAGCTGCAACAGGCGTTCCCTTCCCATCCTCGACCTGCTCTGAGGTCAGGTCGACGCGTGACCCGAGCTGCAACAGGCGTTCCCCCTCTGAACCGCGACACTGAGGCGCTGCACCAATTTATACATTTGTTTATATACAAAAACAAAGGAATAAACCTGTTTTTAATGCACAATACATTGAAGTTAATGAATGCGTCATGGGGAGGGGGTGGGTGGGACGGCCACCGCTTTAACGAGCCTAGCCTGAGGCCAAGCTGCCCAAACAGGTCAAGAGAAGTCATGTGTTGCTATTAGCAAACAAAACAACAAACGAATTTAGAATAAATTGCATGCATCAAAGGAGCCATAAGAGATAATACAACACAGGAAAGTTCAGGTCAGTAAATACAGACTCAAGAAGGCTTCATAACTCAAGCTTCAAATTGACATTAAGACAGACGCATAAAGTGACGATCTTCCAACTGGGAAGACGATGAGTGAGCCGCTCGAGCACACGAGGCGGGGAACATTGATAGGGGCGGAGCTGGAGTCCGAGTACTGTAATAGTAAGCTTGATATCCATGACGAATTACTGACTGCTAGTGAGCCGCGACCCCTCTCTCCCCCCTGGTATGTTGCTGGACTCACCTAGTTGTGCTTGCGGGGGTTGAGCTCTGGCTCTTTGGTCCCGTCTCTCAACCGTCAATCAACTGGTGTACAGATTCCTGAGCCTATTGGGCTCTTATCATATCTACATTTGAAACTGTGTATGGAGTCAGCCTCCACCACATCATTACTTAATGCATTCCATTTACTAACTACTCTTTTACTAACTAACTTACTCTACTTACTAACTACTCTACTAACTACTAACCCCGCAAGTACAATTAGGTGAGTACACACACACATCTCATAACCCACACGTAGCTAGGTGTGTGAAATGGTCTCTATAAAACTAACTCTTGTGACCTTTTCTGATCTTAGTTGAATATATCGTATATGGGTAACGTTTATATATTAGTACGTGGGCCAGTGGCTAGTTATTGTGCGTGGGTATTGTCCGTGGGTATCAGGTGTGTGGGTATCGGGTGTGTGGGTATCAGGTGTGAGTATCAGGTGTGTGGGTATTGGAAGGAGGCCCCGTCTCCATAACGGGCACCCCCCTACAGTGACCCAGGCTGACCCACCGCGGGGTCACAAGTCGGGATTCAGGATATGTTGCTACTGCCTGGGGGGGCCCTGCCCCCCCCTCCCTACCGACACTTACCTACCGACCAGCCAGCCCCCCCCCCACACCTACCCACCTACCCACCTACCCACCTGGAAGGTAAGCACAACCATCTCTGAGTGCCATATTAGATCCGGCCAATTAAGCCAATTATCTTAATTAACCAAACTCTGCGAAGTACACAGAGATGATGCTGTTACCTCCCAGCACAACCCCCCCCCTCCTAGTGACCCCCTCCCCCCCCCCCCTCCTAGTGACCCCCGCCTCCCCCTCCTAGTGACCCCCTCCCCCCCTCCTAGTGACCCCCCCCCCCCCTCTAGTGACCCCCCCCCCCCCCCTCCTAGTGACCCCCGCCCCCCCCTCCTAGTGACCCCCTCCCCCCCTCCTAGTGACCCCCTCCCCCCCTCCTAGTGACCCCCTCCCCCCCCCCCCCCCTCCTAGTAACCCCCTCCCTCCAGTATCTCTCCCCCCCCCTCCGGTGACTATTCATTATTTCGTAACTCACTGTTCACTGTTGGGACACTGTTAGGACACATTCCATCTCTCTCTCTCTCTCTCTCTCTCTCTCTCTCTCTCTCTCTCTCTCTCTCTCTCTCTCTCTCTCTCTCTCTCTCTCTCTCTCTGTCTCTCTGTCTCTCTGTCTCTCTGTCTCTCTCTGTCTCTCTCTCTCTCTCTCTCTCTCTCTCTCTCTCTCTCTCTCTCTCTCTCTCTCTCTCTCTCTCTCTCTCTCTCTCTCTCTCTCTCTCTCTCTCTCTCTCTCTCTTCTCTCTGTCTCTCTCTCTCTCTCTCTCTCTCTCTCTCTCTCTCTCTCTTTTCTCTCTCTCTCTCTCTCTCTCTCTCTCTCTCTCTCTCTCTCTCTCTCTCTCTCTCTCTCTCTCTCTCTCTCTCTCTCTCTCTCTCTCACTCTCTCTCTCTCTCTCTCTCTCTCACTCTCTCTCTCTCTCTCTCTCTCTCTCTCTCTCTCTCTCTCTCTCTCTCTCTCTCTCTCTCTCTCTCTCTCTCTCTCTCTCTCTCTCTCTCTCTCCGCACGGGTGCCGCGTATTAGACTGTGTTGCAGGGACGGGTGCCCCGTGTTAGACTGTGTTGCGGGGACGGGTGTAGCATATTAGACTGTGTTGCGGGGACGGGTATCGCATATTAGACTGTGTTGCGGGGACGGTTGCCGCATATTAGACTGTGTTGCGGGGACGGGTGCCGCGTATTAGACTGTGTTGCGGGGACGGCGCAACAGTCACCTGCGTCCCGGGTGTCCCAGAACAGTTGACCACGGCTCACTGTGAGTGGCGGGTGTTGCCAGCGTCGGGATGGTAACGTAAGCGTGTCTGACGCCAGCGTTTGATACATCGGCCAAGTTATTTATTATTATTAACATCTTTATTGACAAAATTAATTACAATTTTGCCTAATCTGAGGATTTTGATAAAGCCTTATTAAAGTGAGCCAGAAGGAAACATTTAGTGGCCTTAAAACATCTAATTAAGACTCCAGAG